GAATATTTTGCAAAATAACAATAAATTGATTGGAAAATGTTCCAATTGCTTCACATGGCTATTTACACAAATCAGTATATACAGTTTATATTTGATTACAATTGAAAATTATGGTGGCTACAAGCTTCTTTTCCAACACTTATTTTCTGGTCACCAATGGCTAAGATACTACCCTGTACTAAGATTTAGGATTATAAAGATAAATAAATCATATTCTCTGTGTGTAAATTGTTTCCAAATGATCTGGAAGACAGATACCTAAAAATAGCAATCAGTTGAGAAGTGCTCCGATAAAAATATTAACAAAGTGTTACTGAGGGGCAAGAGAGGAAGTCCTCCAGCCCTTTCTCAAATATACTTCCATCCTTTCACTTAATTAGGTTATTTCACCTGGAAAGCCCCCTTCCCAATCCTGACCCTCAAGCCACATTCCTCGAAATTTTGACCATTCTTCAAATCCCAGGTCAAATGCCATTTCCCCCCCCAACAAATTAGTTCCTAATCTTACACTTTGCGATTAATCTTTCCAGTCTGTGTACTTCTATAACTTTATTTATATTTCTGTTTAATCTAATTCGTTGTTGTTCTTTTAAAATTATATATGGTATCTGCCATTAGATTATAAGCTCTTTAGGCCTAATTCATTTTTGGGTCTCTCACAGACCTGAGCCTAGGCTTCTTTTGTGTGTGTGTGTGTGTGTGTGTGTGTGTGTGTGTGTGTGTGTGTGTCTTATAATATTAATTAATTTTAGAGAGGAAAGGAGAGAGACAGCTAGAAACATCAGTGATGAGAGAGAATCATTGACTGGCTGCCTCCTGCACACACCCCACTGGGGATGGAGGCTGATCAAGAATCGAACCCAGTTATGTTCCCTGAGCAGTAATAGAACCATCACCTCCTGGTTCACAGGTCAGCACTCAACCACTGAGCCACGCCGCTGGGCTCTGGAGGCTTCTTAAAATGTACTCAGAGCCTGTTCATTCAGAACAACTTATGGACAGTCCCTTTTAGGATGCCAAAGTGAGAGGACCCTTCTTCCTTCTGGCAATTGTGATTCTCTGTTTGCACATGCCAAAAATGCTTCTTTCAAAGAGACATAAAAGAAATGGTCTTTGACCTAAAATGACCCAATCATACTTCCCATCTTTTTCTACATGTGGACAAAAAACAAACAAACAAACAAAAAAAAAACAAACCACCAAACCTTCAAATTAATCAAAGACTATTCAATGTAAAAATGACTGTATTTTATCTAATCCAACATCTTAATTACAAAGGAGGAAACTCAGTCCCATCTGCTTAAGATGCCATTCTGTTTGATAGTACTTTGATATCCCACAGACAGAATCATCAATATCAAATTTTGGAAACCTTAAGTTCAAAGCTCTTTCTAATAGTTTACCTTTAATAAAAAGAAAGGGGAAAGCATGGCAAACAAACAAGCAAACAAAAACAACCAACACCAAAATATGAAAAGAAAAGGAATTCATTGAAAAGCTATATGAATTATAGAAATAAATTCCATAAAGAATATCATGCTTTCACTAACATCAGAAAAAAATATTTATAAAGCTGGAATTTAGAAATCTGACTATTGCAATTTCCAGATCCTTTATCCTTAGGGTCTCCAGTCACACTCTGCAGTTGGCAATGAAATTTGTTCTGAAGTTCTTCTCCAAGATATTTGAATATGTTTGCGTAATACCAGTCATGAACAGGTGCTCTTAACAGTTGTGGAAGTAAAATAATACATCAAGGCTTGTGGAGAGGTGCACACTCACACATGCTCGCTCCCATCACGACTCAGGCAAATACAACAGATGCAGTCAAATCTGACATAGTTTTCTTGGACCCAGGTCTGTTATTACTGCCAGACCACCTGCTCTTTCCCTGCCCATTCCCATGTCACTGATGCCCTAGCCCCATCCTCATAGATCTGACACTGTCTTACAGATGTCCTAGGTCAGCTCATGCAAGCACACACTCGTGTACGTGCACACACGTGCGCATGCACATAAAATAGGTCTGTGCACTAAGTTTGAAACTTACTGGGTTCCAATTCTAAAATCCTATCTACTATTACAATTGTAAATAAGGAAATGTATATGTATATACAGGGGTGGGCCAAAGTAGGTTTACAGTTGTAATATATATATATATAAATAGTACAATAAATAATAGTACAATAATAAACTCTGTGCTTCACACGCTCACAACTGTAAATTTTGTCCACCTCTGCATGACTCAGACATATAACATGTAAACACATATATGTATCAATTTATCTCTTCACTGTGATTCATAATGAGTTAGATAAAAACCACTTAGTTTTGGGGGTGGAGGGAGGTAGAAGAAGGCATAGGGGGTGATAAATGGTGATGGTGGAAGGAAACTTGGCTTGTGGATGTAAACACACAATACAGTATACAGATGATGTATTATAGAATTGTACAGCTGAAACCTACGTAACTTTATTAACCAATGTCACCCCAATAAATCTAAAAAACATGTAGAAAATAAAAAAAAATACACCTACTTAGTTTGAAAAATTCTTTCATTTGCTGCAGAGGATGGTCTGTGAAAACGGGTTTTCAATTAGAAACTGCCCCCCACCCCCCTATACACCGCTGCTCTGCACTTCCCAAGGTCCCCTTAAGGGCACAGGGACAGTGCATGGGTTTTGGAGCTAGCTACACAGAGGTTTAAGTATTAGTTCTGCTATTTACCATTTGAGAAAATTACTTAACCTCACTGAACAATCATTTTCTTATGTCCAAATGGGAATAATACCTATCTCAGAGGTGTAAGGATTTGAGCTAATGTGTGTGTGTGTGTGTGTGTGTGTGTGTGTGTGTTGCATGGTAGTGCTCAGGAAATAATAGCTACAATGATGGCGATGAAGAGGAGGAAGAGGAAGAGAGGAATAGGGAGGAAGATGGTAGGTAGTCTCCACTTCCTGAATGCCTTCTGTATTTCCTAGCAAGGCTTGGCAGAACTTAACTGCTAGCATATAGCCAGGGAATATCAAGCGTGAGGTAGGGGAAAGGGAACTACTGATGGGGCAGGAGTGTGAAAGGGGTGGCTCGCACTTACCATGGGGCTTTCCTGTCTTGAGCTTATATGTCCATACACACTTGTATACTTCCACTGCTAGGAAAAGGGCATTCATAGTAGTGAATTCAGCATCTTTTAAAAAGTCAAGGCCTTTTTGTTGTTGTTGTTTTTGTTTAAAAGGACCAGACTTTACTAAGCAGGGTGAATACATTCCTGTGTCCTACATCCTGGCTAATCATTGAATTTCCATCACCACAGCAGGTCCCGGCAGCTATCAATCCCTGGTAACTCTAGTTACTGTGAGATAATCTATGGCTTGCAGAACACATGCCCAGCTCCTTCCCAGAGACCCGGAGTTGGAGTGTACTGCCAAGCCACAGGCAGAGCGGCTGCTGTGGTCTCAATTGTCCCAAGTACAACAGGAAGGAGGAAGCCTCAACCTACTTTGGACATGCCCTGAGTGATAGAGCCACTTAGGGCCTGCTTCAGATGCCATTCTGTTTGTCTGTTTGCAAACACACACAACCTATCTGCAGCACCACTTGACAAAATAATCCTTCAGAATGCCTGCTGGCAAATGACTAATGTTAAAAGAGGCCTGTGTATCATTCCAGTGATGACTCCACAGGCATCAATTAAACAAGGAGAAGACCTGTTCTGAAGCACAACCATCTGGTGTTTCCCAAGAAGCAGCAGTCGAAGGCAGATGAAACACAAAAGTGATCATGACTCTAAAGACATTTAGCAGTCCTCTCCTTGCTCAAAAGCAGCAAGAGCCCACGAGGACAATGAACCTGGAAGACCTCCAATATTAGAGGTAATTAAGAAAAGGCTGCATCTGAGGCCAGCACTGCTCTTCCTCATGCATGGAAAGCAAAAATCTGGAGGTTGCATGAGGTCATCTTATAGCCACCCAAGAGGCAGACTGTTCCCAGGAGTTTGTCTGATAGTCTAGGGGTGAAGTCAATTGTTATGTCTCCAGGTGAGAGAAAGGATTGGCGGCAGTCCATCTTCTGCTTCTAGGAGTGCTTTCCAAGTACCAGCATCTAGGATTCTGTCCAGTACAGGAGGCCAACACCACTGTAGTCCAAAGGTCCTTCCCTAGAAACCCATGACTTTACTAGCCTTTGAGTAGCTGGAGGAGGGCCCATTTAACAAATCTAATGAGAGTGATGTCAAGTTATAAAACCCTCAGAAGAGAGACAGTAACTGGAGAAGAAATGCTTTCAAGACTTCAGTTCAAGATCAGTCAGGCAGACACCTGTATATATAGACAACGCTTCCACCACCACCGCCTCATCACACCTAATGACTGCCTGTGACAAGCACTTGCTTTCTCTATTTCTGGCTTTTCCAACAACAAAAATATGTGTCCTTATTCTCAGTCCTGGATCCGAACCTATTTTTTAATGATAATTTGTGCCCCATCCAGCCTCCCCTTAATATGCAAGGTCAGAGAAGTTAGAAAGGAAATACTTTTCAGTTTTAATTTTGATCTAGATCTAAAATTGTTAATGATTTTTTTTTATTCCTTACCCTTTTTCTGTGATTAGAGTAAATATGCACCCTTCACATATCCTGGCCCCAATATTCAGAAGGTAATAGTCTTAGGATAAAGGCTATCAACTAAAAACAAACAAACAAAAATACAAAAAGTCACAAGCAGCTTTAAAACCTCCACAAAACAAACAAATAAACTGACACACAAAAATAGGGCGCTTCCATTCCCTGAGTCCCTTTTCTGCAGACCATGCCAATGTACTTAAATCTCTTTCATAGCAGCTGCCTCAGTGTTAAGTTTTTGGCTTGGGAATAAAAAAGGAGGTTTAGTTAAGGTCACTGACAATTCTTTTCTCAGCACAATAGAAAAGCCACCCAGCCCATTCACAGCACTATCATGGCAGAAAGCACACACAGCGGGGACAAGTAGGAAACAGAAGAGTACCTGGGATTGCCAGATTGGACAGGGGGACGTTGTGGAGGTGAGGGGGCAGCGAGGCCATCCAGTCGGCATTGCAGACGTCCGATGATGATGTCTTGGTCCCGCTGGGGATGGGGGAACAGATGGTCCCCATCCTGAGTTTCCTCCCTAGCATCCCTCCCTGTCTTGTCAGTCAACAAACCACCCAGGCTCCGTCCAGTGACACTCACTCAGCGATCATCATTGCCCGGGCTCTCTAGACATCCCAGGACCACACTCTGGTCCTGCCAGTCCTGCCAAAAGGCCCTTAGGGCCGGGACGACGGGGGCAAAGAGGTGGTTTCCTGCCCCCTCCCTCCCGGCGCCCGCAGTTCCCACCCTCTCTGGCCCGGCGGCCGCTGTTCCACTCAATGTTCTCAGTCCCGGCGGCTCCGTTCAACTTCTCCCCCTTCCCCTCCGGAGCTGGGGGAAGGCAGGCCCCCGGGGAGGTAAATCTTCAGAAACTGGGGATGTAAATCTTCAGAACCTGGAGGTCTGAAGAGCAGCCACGCCCGGAGCCGCTCACAAGTCAGGTGCCACCTCCACGGCACAGAGCCCGGCCGGTGAGTCTGTCCACACGGGAGCGCCGGATCGCACCATCGCCGCCCTGGTGTAGGCGTCCAGGTATGTCCCCGGGCTGGCACCGGAGCGGGCCGGCCTCCCGCGCCCCCGCGTCTGGGCACACACGCCCCCTGCCCGGTGCTCCCCGAAGGAAGCCGCTCCGAAGAGTAACGCGGCGCCCGCACTCGCGGCGGCCCCGCCCCGCACTGCGGGGCAGACTCGCCGGGCCAGGCGGCCGCTGATTGGCCGCGGGCGGGGCACGCTCTGATTGGCCCGCGCTCTCCCTGGCAGCCCCCCTCCGAGCGACTCCCCCTCCCTCCGCCGCCGCCCAGCCCCTCCCTGCCTCACTCCCTCCTTCCTGGGCGCAGGCAGAGGAGCCTGCAGGGACTGCAAGCAGGGAAACTTGCAGGCGGGGGGGATCCATCTGACCTCAGACAGGGCTTTCATGAGGGTAAACTGTAGGATCGCTAAGGGTAGGAGGACGTTGCACACCGATAATCATGGGGACAGGTTGGAAAAAATGGGCAAATCAGGAAAACAAAACAAAACAAAACAAAACTCTGGGCCTTGAGGGTGGTGGGGTCCTGGAGGGCTTCAGGCCTGGCTGCTCCACAGAGACTCCATAGAGACTGAAGGCCCATATAGAGATCCTGGGGTCAGCTGGCCTGGAATCACCAAGTGGGCCCACCTCATCTCCAAGGTAACTCCAACTGCAGGCCCCTATCACCTTTCCATAGGAGAAACTGCATATGTTCCTTTGGACATCCTTATTAAAATTTCATTTTACAGGCTATTTTTAACACTCATGTGAGACTGCTTTTCAGCCTTTTGAGCTACATAATATTACTAACAGGTGTTGTTGTTGTGTTGTTGTTTTTTTCTTTTCTACAGAAGTATCCCTTAATAAAAAGTGTACACTATTCAACCCTGATTGATAGAGCCTTGGCCTGTGGACTGAAGGGTCCCAAGTTCGATCCCAGTCTAGAGCCTGTACCTTGGTTGCAGACACATCCCCAGTAGGGGGTGTGCAGGAGGCACCTGATCAATGTTTCTCTCTCATCCATGTTTCTAACTCTCTATCCCTCTCTCTTCCTCTCTGTAAAAAATTAAAAGAATATATATAAAAAGTGTACACTATTCATAATGTATCTTCTGATGCTTAAATGGCACTTCTACAGAGCACTCTCTTTTTCAAGTATATAACAGAATATTTGGGGATATGTCACCCAGTTGCCTGAGTCTACCAATTTTTTCCCTCATGGAAAATTACTCTGAAGGAATATCCCAAGGTTTACCCTTGAAACTTTCTGGGCTTCCCTTGAACTTAACACAAAACTTCACGGAAACTGTCCAAGGCAAACAAAATGTGTTCTTTAAGCTCTACTGTGAAATGTTCATTTCAATGCTCTCCCCTCTCTTACTTCTCAGCTTTTGATGGAAGGAGTGAGCATATTACAAAAAGCATTAAGCTCTAGACTTACAAACATCACTGCGTGCGAACTTGAAAATGAGGAGTAAAACCACTTCAGAATGAGATGTTCTGTACTCTGGCAGCTATTTCAATCAAAATGAGTTTATTTGCCCAAGAAAACGGCTCAAAAGAAGATAACACTTTCTTCCTATATCCTTGTGTCAGTCCCAGAAGAAATCTTACAAATGGAAACAGACTTTAGTACAGTACATGGCATATGGCAGGTGCTCCACAAATATTTGTTAGAAGGAGGGAGATGCTTGGAAAACATGCTCTGCCAGCTTCTAGGTAGTACCTTAGGTCAGTGCTTTTCACATCTTCAGTGCAAATCAATTCTGATTGAGTTGGTTTGAGATGGGCCTGAGATTCTGCATTCTAGCAAGCTTCTGGCCTTGTTAGAGCTGCTGCTGCTGGCTCAGACCACACTGAGTAGAAAGGCCTTTGAAAACAGGCTCATGTTTGGTAGGATGGACTTTGCATTGCTTTTTTTTCTCTATTACCCAAGGTTTTATAATATTTTATATTACTTTTATAATTTAAAAATGTTGCATTAAAAATTCTAGCTAAGAATCTCTAAGTAGTAGATATTCATTTTTCTGTCATATGATGTGGTAGAAACTAAATTATCAGTGGGCTTTTTATACCATGCCACAGAAATTTAGGGAATAAATAATTATAAAATAAAATTCAGTATTTGGAATTTAAATAGTTAATATTTTCTTACATACTGAATTATGAATTTATCAAAGGGAGAGGAGACTAAATTAATAGGAGGATTGACATTTTAAGGCAAGTCAATTTTAAGCAATAATTACAAACAGAGTGCTTATTACTTTAAAATCATCCTGATAGGTGCTAGAAATAGAAGAAAGGTTAAATAAAAGTTGATATATGTGAACCTTAGATAATATATAATCCAGAAAAGAGAGTCAAATTTGTGAATTACAAGTTGTAATGGGAAGATAAATAAAGGAATAATAGAGTACATGTGGAGGATAATGAAGAGACATACATTTTGATGGGGAAAGGGTCAAGAATATTTTATTAGAGAAGGTGGCATTCAAGCCAGGTCTGGAAAACTCTCTGCAAATGGAAGTGAGTGCAGGTTGCTGGAGATGGAAAGAGATATGGAGCTGAGATAACATAAGCAAAGCTATGACAGTTAGTGGAAGATGTGAAAAACAGCATGTGAAATAGTGGGAAGTATAACTCATTTACTCTCATTGAACCCTCAAAAGAGCCCAGTGACTTAGGTACTATTCCCACCCCCATTTTACAAATGACACTGAAGCTTATAGCTAGTGAGTGAAAGAGCTGTGACTACAAATCTCTGGATCACTGTGCCTGTGGCATCCCATTACCAGTATTATTGCAAGCCTGGTAAGACTGTTTATGACCAAAGTATGTAAAGAGTTTGGACTTTGTATTTCTGTAGACAAAATGGACCATTGTAGGTTTTTGAGAAGGGGAGTAAACTGATTCACCTTTGTACTTCAGGAAAATAACTCTTGCATGCTGAAGAATGGCCGGAGAAATGCCGTCTTTGAGGTAAGTCCCTGAAATCCATCATATTATAGAAGCAGGAGAGAAGTGAGAAGGCCTCAGAAGGCCTGTCGCACAGACTAAGCGCATGGCCTTTCTTAACGGTGGTGCTTGCCTCCTCATTCTCACTTCTCATGTCCAAGGACCTATAATTCTAGGGCTTGAGTGGACAGCCTAACTGTCTCTGAATTAATTTTGCATCACTTGAAAGTCTCAGCAATTTGGTCATCTATTTTGTTACCTGTAACCATACATGCTTATATGAATACCTCTACAGCTTTTGTGTGTGTGTTTGTTTTCTGGAAATTTTGTCTTCATTATTTGATCACCAGCCCCTCCGAATTGCTGAGGAGTTTAATGCAACTTGCGCCCTCTCTTGGAGACTATATTATATTTTGAAAGTGTCTATGACTCATTTTCTTTGGAATCTTGTGAGGTTCCCAGAGTAAGCATCTGAATAGCTTGCTATTTGGGCATGTCTGGTTGGCAGGGCAAATGGCCTAGATTTTACCTGATTGAAGACAACCTAAAAGCCTCAGAGGAAACTGACTGACTTAATGAGACTGTGATGGGCAGTCTCTGGCCCTCACATCTATTACCCTGTGCTGTCTTACCTCCCATTCTGTGTGCTCAAGGAGGGGAGGGGGCGAAGGACAGACCTCCAAGAGAATCAGAACCCAGGCATGTGTTTGGTGCAGGGACATTGCCTGGAGGTGAGTGTGGTTATATGATGCTTAGAGTTTCACAGTGATGTGTCATTCACATTTTTCCCCCCCTTGGGTGGAGGTTATGGGGAGGGTGAAGGACTGAAAGGACGATCCAGGTAAGTGAAAGATGGCTGGAGTATAAGGCTGCTTTGTTTTGTGCCTCATATCAGCAGAGTTTATTTCTCCCTAGTCATCCCCAACCTTGTTTCTCCAATTCAAGTAATAAGAAATCGTGTGATAAGGATCAGGGTGGAATGAAGAAATGTCACCACTGCAGGTGGTGCTGTAGACATGATGACAGCAGAAGCAATTACCTCCAGGAAGAGTGGCATCACTTGTGAGCCTCCAAGGAAAAGGAGATAAGGAAGTACATGGACGCATTCCTCAAACATCCTTAATACCGAAGGCAGAGTCAAGAGCCGAGATCCAGTTATTGTGCTGGATAGAGTTAGAGCTGGAGGCCATGGTATTGGGACCTATTTCCTGGTTGTACCGAGGGGATCCATTTCCTGACTGTACCCAGGTGACTGTCTTTGAGAATCTGAGTAAGAGAGCAGCAGCAAGGTAAGCAGGGAGTCATCATATGTGGCATCACCTTATGCATGCCTGGTCTTTGTGGCCCACAGCAGAGATTCTGTAAGGAGATGAATGAGTAGCAGCAGCAATTAACTATCCCTAAGATTGTTTCTCCCAGATTTGAAAGCTTGAAGTTCAGGTTCAGAAAGATCTTGAGAGCCTCTCTTACTTTTATATTTATTGGACATCAAATTTTCTGGTATATTTTAAGGAAATTTTATTTTAATAACAACATAATGTTACCATGACACTTTTGAGAGGTGCTAATAACAAGTGGTGACTATAAAGTTAGTTTAATGTTCTTTTAGAGTCATGTGCCCCTTAAAGACTGGATAAGTTTGAGAAATGCATTAATAGGCAATTTTATCATCATGTGGACATCACGGAGTGCATTACACAAGCCTAGATGGTTTAGCCCAGTGTTTTTCAACCTTTTTTGGGCAAAGGCACACTTGTTTCATGAAAAAAATCACGAGGCACACCACCATTAGAAAATGTTAAAAAATTTAACTCTGTGCCTATATTGACTATATATAAAGTAATTCTCTTGAATAGGAATCAAATAAACACAAAGAAAGTATTTTATAATTACTTTATTATGAAATATTAAGTAAACAAAATAGTGAAAAATTATAAAATTCTTGTCTTGTCTGCACCTACGGCACACCAGGCAACATCTCGCGGCACACTAGTGTGCCGCGGAACAGCGGTTGAAAAACGCTGGTTTAGCCTATTAGACACTTAGACTTATTTGCTCCCAGGCTACAAACATGTACAGTGCATTACTGTACTGAATACTGTATGTATTTGTAATAATAAAAGGATAAGTATTTGTACTGCTGAACATAGAAAAGATACAGTAAAAAAAAAA